TGATAGATAGGTAACATGTGAAAAGAAAAAAAGGCACGAGAAAACTCTGCTTTACAAAAGACTTGATATTGATATTTTGTGCATGAAAACATTTTAATGTTTACTGATAACCTGCCAAATTTTGTTAACATTTGCTTACTAATTTAAAAGTTATAGCATGAAAACTATAACAAGCACAAAATGGTTATGAAGTCAGCCCCAGGAACTGAGCCCATGTTGAAAGAGTTAAACATAATGACTTGTTAATGGCAATATATTAAGGGAATTGACAGTACTGATGCACCATCTTTTTTTTATATTTAATGATGCCAATGGTAAAATAAAGTGACACAAGTATCAATTCTGACAGGACAATAGTCATCTTCAGCTCATACAGTTTTACTTTTCTAACATGGTGATTGGCCTTTGGAAAGGATTGCTGTCAGATGTCATAGATACAGTAAATTAAGAGAGCTTAAGAGAAGGCTTGATAAATATTTAGATGAACAGATCTGAATTTGAATTTTTTTCTGAATGGATGGGACATTTGCAATGGATGAACAAGCCCCTTGCTGTTTCTTAAATGTTATATTATAAAATCAAGTTTTGTGAGTAACAGTTGTAACTTACCTTTGTCTAGTTCCTGGCCATGGCAATTCCAATAAAATAGTTTATACTGTATGTTTGAAGAGTCAATTTTCCATTTCATATTTTCATACAGTTTCAGTTGTGCCCGAAATCCATTATTAGGCCTATCCAAATAATAAATAATTGATTAACTTGCAATATGAAGGAAAGAAAATAATTATAAATTGGGACTGATCACAATAGATATGGAGGATTGATTGCACTTCATAAGAATGACTTGCATATAATTTATGCTAATACAGTAGCATATTCTCACAGATGTGAGCTGTGGCACCACCAGTAACATATTTAGCACTCATTTTTGATTCATAACAAATTCCTGAAAAGAAATACAAGCTTTTTAAACGATGAGTGAGGCCAAGGTGTACTAAAACAAATGAAATATGTGATTTGTTACTGAACTGCAAAGTGATAAGGGCTTTCCAACATAGTACAAGCAATAAAAGGAAAAACATTTGTTAGGTTTTGTAGTTGCTTAGGGTTTCTCATAAAATGTGAAACTCAAACTTTACAAAGTGCATAGTAAACTAAATGTGAACTCTAATTACTATCAAAGGAATATAACTAGACAAACTATGAGAGGTAAAATTCCTACACTGTATGGGAAAAATACGAAGAAGATATTGTTATACGATCATAAAAACTGAGGTCCCATACTGCATAGTGTCTATGGAAAGCTGGTTAAGATACATGGTCTAAAAATCATCTTGCCATTCTTCACAAGGCTTGTTACAATGGAAATTATGACAACAGTCAACAAGATGTAATCTTGGACATCAGAATGATGATGGAGGAAAAAGTTCAAAGGTCATATAAGAACACACTTATGAAATGCAATTATCCTCATTACTCTTTCTTTGCACAAATTGTAAAAGAATAAGACATAATAGTCTCTTGATGGTTTTAACAACAGAATAAAACATAATGGTTAAACTTAATTGTTGAAATACTGTAGTTTTCAAAGGACAAATTAAAATATTATGCATCTCAAATACATCTAACAGAGAGAAACTGATAAGACACTGTTATGTCTAAGATATCACAGGTAACAGCAGCTACTTATAAACTGTTGTTTATAATGGACATCAGTGATTGTGCATTCAACTCTGAGTTTAGCAGCCAAGCAAGATAGACGTTTTTTTTTCCAGTCAAGATGTTTCCTGAGCTGGCTAGTTCTTTGCTCAGGATTACCTCCAGCCACCCCCCGGCACCAAATTGTCGCATTTATCTACAGATTTAACCCAGGAGTGTCCATCTACCCAAATCCTTTGATGAGATGGAATTTTTCTCCAACCCTCAACCCAAACTGACCTCTCATACTTGTGAAACCCATGGAACACCTATCTGAATGTAATTTACACAATCCCCCAGAGTTCAACTAATCTTTTCTCTATTTTTTCAGGGATGTCAACTCTACAATCATGCCAGAAGAAATTCAACACTCTCTGGAAGAGACCACCAAGACAAAATTACAAGCAGTTCACCAGATGTGCTCCAGAGCAACAGGCTACATCACCTAGTTCAAAGTAATCACAACATACAAACTTACAGCTAATTACATTCTTTCTAATGGTTGTTTTTATCACATTTTTCATTTCAGAGCTTAACACCTGTGCTGACACCCAGCACATCATTTTAACAGTAAAAGCAAATCTTCTTCACATTCTTCTCAAACCAATAGATCACAGATGCTTCTTTTTTATGAAAGTGATGTAACATTGTTTTTCCATTTGACCAAGTTACAAGTTTTACCTTTAATTTTGTGATATTTCACATGTATATGTTTTGTATTGAGTAAAAGATACTAATATTAATAATAATCACATATACCAAAATAAAACCAATATATAATTTTGGTAAGGTGTTTCAAGTTGTTCTTTGCACTTCATGACAAATTTATTCACACTCATGTAACAAACACATTACCTTAGATTTAGCCAAAAAAGTGTTTTAAAAGAAGTCAAATATCGGATATGCATGACTTTCTTACAGTTTTGGTTAGTGAATAGACAATGTTACTTCTGTTTTCAAAAAGGTGATAAATGGTTGGCCTGAAAATTATAAGGTAGCTAGTCTTCCTTACTAGCCACACTCCCCAAAATGTTGAAGTGATTTGATGTAATATTGATTTCACAGTTTTGTAAGGAATGGCGAAGTATGGCTGACTGATTATATACTGTATTTTGTGCACACTCTTTATTTCATGAGCTAAAACAACAAATTGTAGAGCCCACATAGCCACAGTTACACCTTGGGCATGTAAATTTATAGATGAAATAAGAGCAATGTGTTATAGGAATCCTGTCTTTAAATCTAAAATAATTACTTAAATGAAATATTAGTTTAAAAACATTTCGAAACTTAATTTGTGGTTAACTTTTATTAGTCGAAATTGCTTTAATTTTTTTCTTTAGTTCCACTGAATGGTAGAATGCAATAAACTATTTCTTTGTTTCAATCTGTTTACTAATTTTTGGAGTGTAGAAAGCTTTTGAAGTAAGTTAGTAAGGAAATGCTCCACACAAAGGAGAACTTGTTGATACACAAGGTGCTTCCTGAATTAAATATTAATCAAACAGCATCATCTTTGCTCCTAAAACTATGGGTTAAGATATCTGCTTATTTTCTCTAAAAAAGAAGGGTAAAAAGTGATTATTCAGGATATTCATAGGATAAAAACCTCTTACTTCTTTGTGCTAAATTTTGAAAATGACAGGATGAGAGGACACAAGCTTAAGATTTTGAAAATGGACACTAGACTACATTTAAGTTTTATTTTTTCTAACAGAATGATTGGCTTGTGGAATTAATTTGCATCAGTAATAGTGGAAGCTGGCACCTATGACTGCAGGAGGAATGAATGAATTCTTGAAAAATATAATAAATCTTTACTATGTTTTTTCTTGATGCTGGAGTATAAGAACAGCTCTGAAAGACTAAACTGTTATTTCAGGTATGGCTGAAATTCTCTAGGTTATGTTGTTTGAAAAAGGAATAGTTAAGTTTCACAATTATAGAGCAATTCAAGATTATTTTTTTCCTGAAATACAATGGCATATTTCACTCATTTTTGGGTCTTAATAAGCATTACTGTAATTTTGATACCACATTACATCAACATGGTTGCTGCACCCACTGACAAAACCAATAAAAGGGAGAGAAAGAACTTAGTGAAGTGGACAAACAGAGTAAGATAAGTTTTTAGTATCTTAAGGACATTAGGGTTAATGTTCCTGTTTTTCACAGTTTCTTCACCAATTCTAATGTAATAGTACAATTCAAGTGCAAATAGTTTTATAAAGCTAAACTCTGCTGAATAAACACTAAATACAGAGTAGTCATTAGTCCATTTTAGCCAAAATTGTTCCTAGAGAACAGATTCTGGCAGAGAACACAAAAAAGCAACACCATAAAAGATGTAGCATAGAAAATTTTATTCACACACACAGCTGTTTGCAGGCAGCCAAGAATGCAACAATATATGGTCATTTTCTTCTGCTAACTTGCTATTATGTGGCTACATTTGACAGTGGATCACTTGAACACTAAAAGGACATTGATGCGGGCATAGTCAATAGAAGTAACTTTCAACTTTCAGGTAATAACTGGCATTCCCCAAAAGTAAACCCCTTTTCTACAGACTTTGTACTCATAATTGCTTGACAATAAGTGATAAAGGGGGCACAAAGAGATTATTATGAGAGTAGCATAAGATGACTATCATTTAGTATGTTTCAAGAACTATTGTCTGAAAAAGCTCTAAATCTCAAGCCATTGATACCAAACTAACTTTGTTTACTTTATTCCAAGCAAACTATAATTTACCAGTTCACATGTAGATAAAGAAATGTTGAAAAGATGTTGGACAAAAAAACTTAGAAATCATGAGTGTGTGTGATTTTATCTCTGGAAAAGAATGGTGATTAATATACTCCTGTTCAGATAGGGGCCAACCAACCTAGTAACCTGTACTTCTTGGAAAACTGTGAAGACAACTGAGAACAGCAGCCAGGACACTTCACCTCATTCTTGGTACTGATATTATTCTAACCCATTAAAATTTCTTTTTAGTTACTATTTTTGACTTACACATTTTTTTAGGTATAAGCATTTTTATTTTCCAAATGTTTTTATATTATCTATTTATACTAACTTAAGGTCTATTTATTTTACTAGATGTTTTCATCATGTATTTTTATATAGATCTGTTGGTAATGGATTTTTTACAAAAGCCATAGAGACATTGGAATTACAAGTTCCAATCAGGACAGCAACTTATGTATATGTGGGTTGAACAGCCAGGATGAGACCATTAATTTTGAACTATCAATCAGAGCTAGCAGCATCCTTCACCATAAGAGATCTATTTGCCTCTTTGAACCAAATAATGGGATTTATTGTCAATTTTATAATTTGCCCACAGGATGAAAGTACAGAGCATATTAAGTAGCATCATGTCTGAAACTCTGGACAATATGATTGGTATTCTGAAACACTAACCATAAGGCTATCTATGCCAAGTCCCTTTCAAAGCAAAACTTATTTATTAACCATTTAATAGTATCTATAAGTTTCACTTCACTGAACAGATTTGAGCATTTACTTTGAAAATCAAATAAAATGCTTATGCTAACATTTATTTTGTAAAATAAATTACAAATACCACACACATTTTAATGACAGTTTTTGTGTATGTTAAAGTGGCTGAAAGAAACTGACCCAAATGTTTTACACCTTAGCCAAATCATTACTAGTTATAGTACACAGGTTACCTAATAATCCAACAATAAGCACAATTAAGACAAAAAGTTAATTCATTTTAAAGCCTCTTTACCCACAGCACACAGCTTTTATCGTGAGTATGATGTGTGAAAGTAATCTCTTGATATATATATATATGTATGTGCATGTACACAAACTTTTAAGCTTCTTCTCATTTAAATTATTAAAACTCGTATCTTTTGGCTCATATTAAATGAGACACCAAGTTCCACTTATACTGTAATTTCTTTAGCAATGTAGTTTTATCCATAGTAATCAAATTATTGGTCCTACCTTTCATACCATTTTCTTGGACTATTGAAATGTGTGAAATTTATAACAAGTTTTACAGGAGCAAAGAGAAAGGAAATGTAATCAAGATTAGAACATGGAATTTTAAAACACTGTTGAGGGTGTGAAAATTAGAAAAAAATGAAGAAAGAACTACTGTATGCCCTGCTGAACATTTTAGGACCCTGTGAAATACAATAAATGAGTAAAGGAGATTTCAATAGTGATGGTGTAAGAGTTATCTATGCTGTAGGACAGAGAGGAATAGTAATACTGCTTGATGAGAAGACACTAATGTGTGTTATCAATATAGTTAGAAGACATAATAGACTGTTACTTATCAAACCAGTGGACATAGTGATCATTCAGGTCTATATGCCAACATCTGACCATGATAAAGGGAAATGGATATAGCTTAGGAACAGATGGATAAGATGATTGATGCATAAAATAGAAATGATTATGTAGTCATTATGGGTGATTGAAATGCAGCCATGGGAGAAGAGAGATGGTAAAGAGATTGGTGATTATGATTTTCTAACTAAAAGTAAAAGATGTTAAAAACTGGTTGAATTCTGCAGACTGAGAAAACTCTGCACAGCAAACACCTGGTTCTAGTATGAAAAGAGGAGATGATATACCTGGAAGAAACTACATGACTCCCAAAAATTACAGGAGTAACATTTAAGACACAGACTGAAAAAAAAACAACGAAGAATGCAACAAAAACAAGTAGGCAACATAAGGGACTTTGGATAACAGAAGAAATAAAAAACATTGAGGTGAAAAGAAAACTGGAAGAATGTCAACATGGTAGGAAAAAAAAAGAATACAGGAAAAGGAACAATGAACTGAGAAGAGAAACTTGGTGGTACAATTAGAGGAACAGAACAGACAAGGAGGATTGGATTCACTGTACAAAGAATTAAAACAACTCCCAAGAAAATGAATAACTATGTAAGTGGTACCACATGATCAGAGGAAGCAGAAAAGTCAAAGAAAAGTGAAAAGAGTACATTGAAAAGCTTTATGGTAAGGAAGGAAAGTCAAATAGACTTGAAATAGAAGAGGAAAGAAGACAAGGGCTCTGCTACTCTTCAATGTGAAATCATTGCAGCAATAAAAAGTATGAAGGCAGAAGGAATCAATGGAATCCCTACAGAAATGATAAAACTATTAGAAGAAAAAACAATAAATGATTTGCCCACTCTGCCAAAATATGTATGAGAATGGTGAATGGCCAGCAGACTTTATGAAATCAGTAATGATACCAATCCCAAAGAAACTAATTGCAACTGACCTCTTTGATTTCAGAACAACTAACCTGATACTACACATGTTGAAATATATCCAGTCAAGGATAGAAAACAAAGCATCTACATTGCAAAGGATCAATTTGGTCTTCAGAAAGGATGTGGAACAAGAGAAGTGATTGCAGTAAAGAGAACTATTTGTGAAAGGAGTTTGGAATTTAGCTAAGAAGCATTTATCTGTTTCTTTAATCTCGAGAAAGCATTTAATAGAGTAACTTGGAATATCTAGTTAAATGTACTCAGAATGACTAAAATGGCCTGGAAAGAAAGAAGAAGACTGATTGCGGCTTCTTACACTAGTCAGAAAACAACATTTAGAACATCTAAAGGTGAATGAGATGATGCAATAATTGGAAGAGGGGTCAGTTAAGGGTATATACTATTATCAACACTTTTCAATGCATACATATAGGCAATGACAAAAGAAGCATGAGAAAACTTAACTGAAGAAATAATGACTAGAGGACAAAGAGAAAGATCTTGCAGATCTCTGAGATGACAAGGAAGTGCTAGCTAACACACAAAATGTTTTGTAACTTTAGTTACAAAATTAAATGAAGCAGCAAAAGATTTTACAATGAAAAATAAACACGTCAAACACTAAAGTGATGATGGTGTAATGGAAAGAAGATAGAAAACTAAACATTACTGCCAAAGGTAAAAAGTTAGAAGAGGTGAGAGAGTTTCATTACTTTGGTGGCCTTCTCAGATGGTCAGTGTTCTAAAGAAATTGGAACCAAAATTGGAATGGCTAAAGAAGCCTACCAAAAGAAAAAACTACAATCTAAACACTTTGAGAAGAAACTGAAGAAAAGAATAACAGAGTTATGTCTACAGTGTGACAACATATGCATGCATGATGTGGGCAATGCATAAGGAAAACACAGAGACTGGAAGGTTTTGAAATGTAGATTTGGTGAAGAGTCATGAAAATAAGTTGGAATGAAAGACAGACAAATAAAGAGGTTCCAGATCAGATGGGAGAAATATGTGGACTTGTTCCATCAATCATGAAGAGGAAGAAAATCTTCATTGGGCATGTATTGAGAAGGGATGGCCTGATGAAGGAGGTTATTAAGGAAAGATTCCTTGAATAAAAGATCAAAGGAAGGAAAAGGATGATGATGCTAAGTGATGTCCAACAAGGAAGGACTTATGGACAGGTAAAGAGAGCAGTTGATGAAAGAGATACATGGATGGAAAATTATACCTTGTACACTTGGTGATGATGACTGTATTTTATAACTTGAATACAGCTATGAATGATTATTAACTGATATTAAAGTTCTTGACAAAAAATATAGAAGTTTTGTAACTCAAGTAATGTTTATTTTTCTCTAAGGTTAAGTTGAATTTATATTAACAAATGAAACTAGCATGTAAAGGAGAGTATCAAATAATTATTTAAAACAAAACTAGTTAGTCTGTGTTCATAATAATAATTTCAATCCTAGTTTGAGTCAGATCCTATCAGGAATTCTAGGTTTCAGGGTTGATGTTTTGAAAACATTGGTTACAAAGGAAATTTGGTATAGCAATAATATTAAAACAACATGGAACAAAAGCTATCAAGTTTTGTTATTTTCAAAATAGGTTTGCCTTCCAATTTTATATATACAGGATGGTCCAAAATTATCTTTCCTATTTCAAAACTTAATAATTACATCATTAAAGAAATACAACAATGCAGTTATTAGCATATTAAAGCCCAACTTACAGTTTTTATTGTATTTTTTTTCATTCCAGTGAGTAGTGTTACCCCATAAAATTAAAGCAATTGGATATTTTTGAGGGAATTTTACAATTGCTTCAGTGTTTTTAATGTTCAAGAGTTAAGAAAGAAACTATAGAGATTTAAGTATTCTGAGTGTGATACACATACATGTAGAAATGGTGTAAGTAAGGTCACCTGTATTACGAAATTAAGTCAAGAACTAGGCAAAGCCTAGTTAGCTGGTTAGTTAGCATTGAGAATCATGAGTTATAAAAAATGAAGCTACAGCAAGGACACTGAGAAAAATGCTAGCCACGAGTTGACAGTGATAAGTTACTGACGCCAAGTTAGTAGCACTGTAGAAGCTACTAAAACGTTTATGATAGCATCTCAAATTGGTGGTTTGATGTAAGATCTGTTACTCCAGATCAGTGTAGTAGTACAAGTAAAAAGGTAACCAGAGCACTTACCATCACAGTAACCAATTACTTGAGGGTTTTGGTTCTTGTTCTGGATTAACCTGGGAAGTTGCACAGATTGATCAATAAGGTGTTAGAACTACTTGCAGGTAGTTAGGAATACTATTTGGAAAATCAAGAAAATACAAAAAATACAGTATAAAAACTCATGTCTGGAGCTAAATATCAAGTTCTCAGGAAGAATTGAGGTTCTCCAAAGAGCTGATAATAGTTCCAAGCAAGAACTCTCCAAGTCAATATGAATAAGAAGATCTCTAACCTCCAGATATATACCAATCCAACCTTGTTGTAAGTATAAAATTGCTATCTCCCTTATTCAATTAATGTAGTTTAATAAAGGAAGTTAATGATTATAACAGGGAGAAATATTCTGTGTTTTGGTTAGTAGTGCTTAACTGAAAAGTGAAAGTTATAATTGTTAAGAAACTAACAGTTTAGTACTTGCTTAATTGTTGATATTAAAGGTGTATACTGTGTGTCAAGATCTAATAAACTTGATGTATTTTGTTCAATGTTAGTCTCAGAATCTATTTCTTTAGTCTAACCATAAACTACCTCGAGTTAGCAACTTGTTAGCTCCACTCATCACTGCAATCCTCAATTAAATAAATTTGGTGTAATTGGCAGTACAGGCAAATCTCCAACGATTAGCCCTAAGGTATTGGACATCATAAACATACAAGTTGAACTAATGTCACATCCAACATATCACGTGACACACAAAAATTTATATTTCAATGTGTTTTTTTAATATTTACTTTTAAATTAAGAAATTGACTAATGTATAAAACTAAAGTCTGAATTATAATCTACAATTTGATACCAACTCATTGATGAAAATTCATAAAATAGTAGTTCAATAAAATTTGGAATGCAATTCAACAAACACAGTGACATGGCCATTGACGTGTGACCCATGTTTTTTACAACCACAAGCTCTGTTACTAAACTGACTACAGAATAGCAGTGTAATAATGCTCATCAGTTAGAATTTCTGTTGGAAATATATTTATGTAACAGATATGTTAATGTTATGTATGTGTATAATATTTTGACAGTGACTTAATGAAAATTTTAAGGTATTTGATGTTTAAACCTTATACTTCTACCTCCATGGACCTAGAATGAAAGGAATCCTGCCAGATAATCTGCACATGTGGTTCCATAAATCTGGTCAGACATGATCTCTGGCTCCAAAATGTGGTGAGTTTCATTCTTGTCGACAGACGTTGAACAATGGTCAATATTACAGCTGTAATTCACTTTCATGACATCATTTCTACAGTGTTTCTTTATTAATTATACTATAAAACTTGCCAATGTTCATTTTGATTCTTTATCCTAAGACATATACTCTGTAAGAATTTATTGTCTTGTTGGGAATTTTAGTTATCCTGATTGTTATAAATGTATAACATGACGGCTGTGATAGGTAGGTTGTGAGTTTAAAGAAGTAAAAATAAGAAGACAAAAGACTGTGAGAGTGATCAGAGAATATCGTCCAGGTGTTTTGTAACTGTAAATAACAAATAATTTGTTTTGAAATTTAAACATGTTACAAACATACAGTATACAATGATTCATACTCTCACCGAAGAGTCTCCAGGCAAACTCTATGAAGTAGTTATTAAGAAATTATTCCTTATAATCAGGAAAATATACATTTATGTCAAGCTTTGACATGCAATATACCTTTCAATTTAAACATGTTACAAACATACAGTATACAATGATTCATACTCTCACTGAAGTCTCCAGGCAAACTCTATGAAGTAGTTATTAAGAAATTATTCCTTATAATCAGGAAAATATACATTTATGTCAAGCTTTGACATGCAATATACCTTTCAATAAAACAAAATTTAAATAAATATACTTTATCATACTTATTCTCTCACTTAGATATATTAATTATTCACATTTAATTGTATGAACACAACAGTGAAAACACATTTTCTTGACTGAATTAAACATTTACTTACATTATACAGTTTCTCTTCTCCTTCACCATATGATAAGCCTCTTCATAACAAAGTTGGTATTGATTCATCAGATAAGCTATTACAACAGTTGCACTTCTGGATATTCCCATAAAGCTAAAAATATCATTCATATTTTATGACTAGCATAATTTACTCTAAAAACAGAAACTAAGCAATGCATAAAATATCCTAGTAACCCATTCACGAAATAACCTTAATCTAATGAAAGCTGTGTTAAATTAGAAGTACAATGATAAAAACAAGGAAACAATATTTAATCAATCAAGTAGCTAGACAGCACATGGAATTTTAGGAATGTCTAGTATTGTGACTGTCACACATACTGCTCTTGATAACCACTTTCAAGTATAATTTAATTACTCTGTTGTCACTAAGTCAAGAAACCTTCTCATGCTGAAACTTCAGCACAGTTACCTAGCAATTGTGAGTGACCCTGTCAAGTTAGTATGTTCAAAATCTTTTTTATTAAGTGCACAAAACACACTTAAAATTCATTATTTCATTTTTATTACCACTCTCAGACTATCTTATATAATTGGACCTACTGTTCAATTTTATGCCTTTTATAGCATCACACAAGTTTTACTAGTTTACATGCTAGACATGTTATAGCTTTACTAAAGCATTTCTTGCAATATTTTTTATGTGGTTATTAATTCTCAAAAGCATTGATGTTATACACATTTTATAAAAATATAACTAAAAAGCACCAATCTTTGTTACGGCTTTTTACTGATCATTCTTCCTAATACTACTTTTATTCTTATCCTTTTTTACTGAATCATTTGTATTATGCTTCACATGGACTTCAAATACTACAACTCAAACAGTAGAATGGACAGCATCTGTTTTATATCTAAGAATACAACAATACAAAGAAATTTAAAGTTGCCAGAACATTCTTGTAAACTAGAATTGAACATATCAATTACCCAAAATGCGCTCAAATGGTCGTCCAGTGAGTGCAGGAAAAACTATTTATAATACTAATTCAAATTTCTCATACTAGATAGCAGCACTGTACACAAAATTTGTTTGTAGATGGTTACTGATGTGTATTAAGACAATTAAATTCTTACTGTTGATGCGTTCTACTAACTGTATGCCAAATCTGTGATATGTTAAGTATATTAAAGACAAAACCTTAAGTTGTGTGAAGATAGCATCTATTGCACAGTTTGCCAAACTGTAAATTAACAAAAAAGTAATGAAAGAAAAAAAAGAGTAATATTAGAGAATTTACCATCAATTATATGCTGCTACTCATGGGGCTTTTCACACAATACCAGACCTCTCTAAATAATGAGAGTCAGATCGTGCAATGTTTTGGATAAGTGGGGAAAGACATTATTAAAATTATAATCAGTCTAACAGTTGTTACACTTTTTTACAAAAATATATTTTTCAATGGACAAGTCACCGAGCTAATTAACTAATTAACTCCAATTTTCAGCCTTATATATTCTAACCTTTTCATTCTGCCATAGGAAGGATGTTAAAACCTCCAACAATTTTCAACACCCAAGTCAAACCTCTTTAATACTTTTATGCTCAAGAAAAAGAAAATAAATAGGTTCAAAACAAACCTAGTGGCATTCAGGTACACTGGTGGCCAAGAGAAAAAACCAAGTGTTCAGGAAATGTTATGCTGTGTATTAAAATGACAAAAGAACATATAAAACAACATTTTGTTTTTGTTCTTTTTATAAGTGTTTATGTCTTTATTAAAAGGCTGGTTTCTTACCTGTTACAACAACAACTGAATGCTATGATGAATAAAGAGCGGGTTTTCTAAAATATGTGCACAAGACAAGAATAGGATCAAGAATAATACAATAGTGCACTTTTAAGTAAAACCAATGTCAGAATGCATTATCCCAATCCTAAGATTACCTACATGAATGACTATTCCACATATACTCCTAACTCATACTAACTTATTTAAGTTTCTGCATCACCTCTTGAGGTAAGCTTGTCCTATCCCAAGGAGAAAATACAAGCATAGGGTCAAACTGGTACAAGCTTCCATGAGACAGCTGTTACCACCTGTAACTTTTACCTAAGCCAAGGGATCAGTACATGTTTATAACTTTTTGGCATTTGTTTTAGAAGGGCATCATTTATGTGCAGAACACACACAAGAAAATTTAGAAAAATTACCTTAATATATCTTACTACAAATATATTCTAAACTGGTTATGGAAGGGTGAAATAAACAGTTATTTTAGCTGTGAAAACCAAGGATTATTATCTCAGGGTCTTTCCAGACCAGAACATTAAAATTAAACATTAATGGCCAAATTAGAAAGTTAACTAGAGAGTATGATACACAGTAACTGTCTCCCTCAATTCACATGCAATATGTGAAATGATTACACAAACGCTTCAACAACTAGTCAAAGTAAAATTTAAAAATGGATATACAATAAATCAAAATCACGATACAAAATTGACACTAAAATCTAAATTACATTACAGAGGAAGACAGTTAGTGTCACCAGATCTAGTGTCTCAACCCTTATAATGTCCCAAACCCAGGGAACCAGTTTTTCTAAATATACAATTATTATTAATGTAGTGTCCCAACTGACAGTTATAGTGTCCAACCTGCAAATTAAAATTACTGTATCAATACATTTATAGTATTTGACAGCAGTGTAAAGGTTGTGAAAAAATGTGTTATCATTTCAGATTGGTGCACTCTATGACCATGGAAAGAAAGTGAAAATGTTTAACGCTGTCACAAAAAGTGAACATAATTGCTACATGCAAGCAGCTAGGTGTTACAAGGCAACAGATTGCTCAGCAGTTTGGAGTGAGCAGGCAAAAAAGTGATATTGAGAGTCAGTTTCAGAATGGACAAGGAAATGCCAATGAGAAACAAAATAATTCAAGTAAATTTTCAGAGCATGAAGAAGTTCTTTTTCTATGGTTCAAAGAAAAGCAGGCACAAGGAGTTCTTCTGAGTGGGGTTTTACTTCGTCAAAAGGCAGTAGATCTAGCCCAAACTATGCAAATTGAAGGTTTTCAGCCAAACGATGGTGGTTCACACGATGCAAAGCAAGACACAACGTTGTTTATAAAGTTGAATATGGAGAGAAAAAAATCTGCAGATGTTACCGCATCAGAAAAATTGCCAGTAATTCTTAAATCTTATATGCAAAAGAAAGTTATCAATGCTGATGAAATGGCACTTTTCTTCAAACTTCTAGACTCTTGTGGCTATGTTGAACATGGTTTATAGGTGGAAGGAGGAAAGCTTCTAAGGATTGAATCACAATCCTTGTCTGTGCAAATAAGACAGGATCTGAAAAAATTAATTTGTTTCTGATAGGAAAAGCTAAGCATCCACATTGTTTCCCTAAATATCTGACAAAGGTCCCTGTCTCTTATGCTAGTTCCTTAAATGCATGGACGACGGAAAATATATTTGAGTCATAGCTTCACAAATGGGATAAGGAACTTGCAAAAAAAAAAGAAAAGAAAAATAAGTTTACTTACAAAAAATTGTGTAGTTCGCCCTGGAGATGTTTCCCTGCAAAACATAAAGCTTGAGATTCTTCCCCCAAATTCATCTGTTATGCAGCCAGTGGACATGGGAGTCATCTGGAACCTCAAGGCTCACTACCGTTCCATACTGTTTCAGCACATCATAGGTAAAATTAATATAGATCCCAACCTTTCGTTTAAAGAACTAAATAAAATAAGGTAGATCTTCTGACAGCAGTCACCATCATTGCTGAAGCATGGAAACTGGTGTAAATAGACACCATCACAAATTCTTTCAAAAAAAATGGAGGCTTCCAGTTGCAGGCTGTAGATGACGACCAAAATGATGCGACTGATGTCACTATTGATCTGTTGGATGGTGCTGCAATTCCTGAGCAATTAAGCACGGAGTCTTTTAAGCAACTTTTTGAAGTGAGCAAAGAGGAGTTGACCCACAAAGAACTCACTCACAATCAGTTGATAAAAGGAGTAAGAATAAAAATCCAAAAAATGGACTTACAAGAAGAGGACGAGGAGAAAGAGAACCCACCTTCATTGAAGGAAGTCGTTGATGCACTTACAGCCCTCCGGTGATTTTCAGCATTGGAGGGAATTGATTTATCTGATGGTTGCCTTAATCTAAGAGCTGGGGAGGAACAACTAAGGAAGAAGAGGGGCACAAAGTGAGTGCAGGCAACACTTGATGCAATTTTTAGTTGTGACTTTATTTTGATATTATGTTTGTTGTTAAATGTTTTAAATATGAACTGATTAGTAAAGATTATAATACATATAATACTTATTTAAAATTCCAACCAGAGATAGTGCCTATATTGTCAGGAACTGAATCAGACACTATAATAGTATTTCTCTGTATATTGAAATACAATAATTATGTCAACCAGTATCACTGGTTAGCTGGGTTGATAAGACAGATACTCAAATGATACCCCATTTATTGTTTCCCATGATGTGATTTTGTGTTGATTAAGTGTTTGCATCCATGAATTCACTTCACTGAAGTTTTCCTCTCCACACAATGGTATGTTTTAGTCTTCCCATGAGTGAAAATATCATGTCAGGCAGTTTACAAGACTTATGGTTTCATTGACAGATCAAGTTTGATCATGTTCAGAGTGATTGACCACAGGAGGATCAGTAATTCAATCAGTAACATACAGTTGTAGGCACAAACAGGTAATTATATATGGGAACATAGTATGCATAAGTGCAAGCACACATCTTGCTTACCTGATTTATTTATTTTTATCCTGCATTTTATGAAGACTGGTACAAAACAATAAAGCCATCATGCACAATCTTGTATAACACAACACAAAATCTCACTGACTTATGCACAAGACTGAGAGTTTGTTCAGGAAGTTTTTAGAAGCAAAGATGAGATTCTATAAGGTGATACAGTAATCTCAACATACCCATCTGCTTCTGATTACTGGAGTAACTAGTTCTCTAAAGGCCTATCACAGAGTTTAAGCTTGTCAGTGTTTCTTGACTAGTCAGTCAGAGATGAGTTACATACACGATATGGTTTGTACCATAGCTAACTCATCTGGGTCAATTGTTGTTTTAGCGCAATACCTCTT